TTTTTCAGGATTTCTTTAGATATTCTAGGTCTTTTTATTTCAATATAAGAAAGCATGCTTGCTGGGGTTGTACAGTCCATAGAACTGATGTCCTAACCATGTTGAATGTTCTAATTCAAAGCGTTCCATTCAAAATGTATCGCTTATTTAGATCTTTACTTTCCTTTGGCAATATATTGTGATTCAATATTAATGTCTCTCACATCTTCTGTTAAATTTATTCCTAAGCAGTTTTCAAAGGTTTTTTAAAATTTTGTAAAAAGCTCTCTGTATACATATAAGCTGTTGAGTTCTGATCTGTGGATTCAATCAATTGCATATCATATACTGCAACTGTAGTATATACTACTGAAAAAAATCTTCATACAAGTGGACATGCAAGCTCGAACTCTTGAACATCATGTTGTTCAAGAGTCAACTGTATATAAAAATACAACTGACTTAAAAAAAAAATTAATGCTGTAGCCTAAAACCTTGTTAATTCTCTAGAGTCCTTAGGATTTATGTAAGCAATCATGTCACTTGTGAATAGAAACTTTTATTTGTTAATTTATATGCATTTTATTTCTCTTTCTTGCCTTACTGCACTTTTTAGGATCTCCAGTACAATGCTAAATATAAGTAGTGAGAGTACACCTGCTAATACTGCTCCTGATATTAAAGGGAGCTCTGCTGTTTGGTAAGACTCAAAGCTATGGCTACACTGTTGTACCTTCTTAGAATCCCTTCTCTTGTCCACAAATTTCTTACTCTCCACGAATTTCTTACTTCCACACACATTAAAGCCCAAATCCTATATGACTACCCTCACACCTGGCTCCTCCTTCGTCAAGGAACAGTGTACCATGCATCATCGATTCATTCTCTTATCCTTGGAAGGTAATATCAAACTGCCAGGAACAAAGCTCTCACTCACATTTACTAACAGCTATCATTTAAAAATATATGTGCTACACTTTTCTGGCAGTCCAGTGGTTAAGAGACATTTCTACTACAGGGGGCGCAGGTTAGATCCCTGGTTTGGGAACTAGGATCCTGCATGCTGTACAGCATGGCCATTTAAAAATAAAAGAAATTTTATTCTTTCTTGATATACCCCATTCTTTTTCAACAAATCACTTCTTAATCCCCCTTATTGCTTTCCACACACCTCCTCTCTGAATATATTACTTTCCTTGGATGATTCTGTCTATTCATAAACCTCAACTACCACCTCTGTTTCCAAAGGCATACCTCTAATTTACCCCACCCATCTCTTTGGTACTAAGACCTCTTTATCTTCTACCCTCCAATTCTGTTCCTCTTGTTTTTTCTTTTCAAACGAATTACTTATTATTCACTAATTCCCTTTGAATAGAAATCTTTTTTTTTTTTTTGTAGAAATCTTATTTTTCACTCTTTCTTCTCTAGTTACAATGCCATGGTTTCCATTCTTTAGATTTATCCTCCAAAACAAGATTTTTAACAAACTTAATGTCTGTTAACAGGAAAATGGATAAACCTAGTATATTCATACAACAGAATATTTCCTATACAGCAGTGAAAAAGATACACAGCAGAGTTTCTCAACCATGGCACTACTGACATTTGGGATTGGTCAATTCTTTGTTATAGGGCTGTCCTGTGCATTGCAGGAAGTTCAGCAACATCTCTGATCTCTACATACTAGATGTCAGTAGGACTATCTCCAGTTGTGACAACCAATATTTCTCTAGATATTGTCAAATGTGCTCTGAAGGAGGCAAATCTGTTCCTGGGTTGAGAACCACTGATCGAGAGCCCTATGTATCAATATAGACAAATCTCAAACAATTTTAAGGAAATAAAAGAGAACTACGTCAGACACAACTGAAGCGACTTAGCAGCAGCAGACGATGTGATAGTATTCATATAAAACCAGAATCAGGCAAAACTGTATTACAGATTGTTTATGGATACATTCATATATGGCATTGGTACAAAAGTACTTGTGATTTTGCACTACTGAACTTTGCTGTTTGATAATGGAATATTCTTAAATAAATGTGGTAATGTTATATACATCATTTTAATGTGCATATCTCACTTTATGGTTTTTTGCTAATGAGTTATTACTTGCTGTTTATATTTATTTTAGACTATGGAAATGTGAAATGATGTTAGACAAAAAGCAAATGTGAGTGATTTTCTTATTCAAGTTCAAAATGGAGAGCAGTAAAACAGTGGAGACAACTCACAACATTAACAACTCATTTGGCCCAGGAACTGCTAACAAACATATAGTGCAGTGGTTGTTCAAGAAGTTTTGTAAAGGAGATGAGAGCCTTGATGATGAGAAGTATAGTGAGCAGCTGTAGTGAAAGTTGACAGCGACCAATTCAGAGCAGTCATCGAAGCTGCTGCTCTTATACGAGAAGTTGCTGAAGAACTCAACACTGACCATTCTACAGTCATTTGGCATTTGAAGCAAATTGGAAAGGTGAAAAAGCTCCATTAAGTGTGTGTCTCATGAGCTGACTGTAAATTAAAAAACCTGTTTAGAAGTGTCATCTTTTTTTCTACACAAGGACAATGAATAATTTCTTGATCAGATTGTGATGTGCGACAAAAAGTGGATTTTACATTGTAACTACTAACGACCAGCTCTGTGGCTGGCCTGAGAAACAGCTCCAAAGCACTTCCCAAAGTCAAAGTTACACACACACACACAAAAAAGCTAATGGTCACTGTTTGGTGGTCTGCTGCTGGTTGGATCCATTACAGTTTTCTGAATCCCAGCGAAACCATTGTATCTGAAAAGTATGCCCAGCAAATCACTGAGATGCACTGAAAACTGCAACACCTGCAGCAAGCACTGGTCAACAGAAAAGGCCCAATTCTGCATGACGATGCCTGACCACACATCGTACAACCAATGCTTCAAAAACTGAACGGACTGGTCTCTGAAATTTAACCTCATCCACCATATTCACCCGCTCTCTTGCCAACCACCTACCACTCCCTTCAAGCATCTTGACAACTTTTTGCAAGGAAAATGCTTTCCACAACTAGTGGGAGGCAGAAAAATACTTTCCAAGAGTCCATCAAATCCCGAAGCTTGGATTTTTACGCTACAGGAATAAACAAACTTACTTCTCATTGGTAAAAATGTGTTCAATGTAATGGTTCCTATTTTGGTTAACAAAATTATAATGATTTAAAATTCAGTGTGAAACCACAATTACTTTTGCACCAGCCTAACAGTAAAAAAATCACATATGATGGGAAACACTGAAGTAAAAACAGTGATTACCTTTAGTGGAAAGAGGAGAATATGGCTAAGGAAGCTTTAACTTCATCTATAATATCTTGCCTCATTTGTAAAAGAATGGTCTGGAGCATACTGGGCAAAATGGCAATATTCACAAAGCTAGGTTATGGGTGTACTTGACCATTTTCTCCATACTTTAATGTACACTTAGAATATGCCATAAAAATGTAAACACAAAATAAACCTGCCCTTAATGACCTTGTTCAGGTATGATGTGACTTAGCAGGTGAAGATAACGCCTTAAACATTTCTTTCAGTTCTCAACTCATTTCTCACTGGAAAAGCCACAGAACTGATAATAGACCTTATCAAACTATGCCAATCAGTAGTATAGTACCAGTTAAAAAGGTACTCTAAGTAACTTCTACCTTACCCCACACCAATTCTCATTTCTCATTATCTTTTTATTTTTAAAGTAACACACACAAGAAACTTAAAACTACTAAAAGAGATCTTGTTTTCCATGTGCTCAGCTGACTGTGGTCATATATGTATTTTAGATAAATATTCAGGTAAGATAGAAACTACAACTATAGTAGGTTCATTTAATTGTGTGAAAATTACAACATGAAATTCATTTTATAATAGGAATACCATTCAACTTTTTTTTTTGTTGCTGCTGGTTTGATGAGGATTTCATCAAGTTCTCAAAGTGTGATGAGCAAGAGAGATTTTGTTTCCTAATCACTACCACTGGTCGTGTTTGAATTTGTTTATTGAATAAAGTTATAATTTAGTGTAGTCATTTTGGACTATTGAGTACTTAAGACATTCTGGTCAAATACTTAATGTATTGGTATATTATAGACTTTTCCATGAATAAAGTTTTAAAGGATGGGCACCTTGAAATAGGAATATAAGTAACATTTAAATTAAGAGCCCCCAGATCATTTGCTGGACTTGGGAGAGGAGGGGCTGAATGCCTAAATTTTACTCTTTAGTTGGCTCTGATAACATGAAATGGGTGTCATAAAAGTGACTAGCTTATCTAATGTGCTACTTAAAATTACAACTGCACTAACAGGATTTTGCTACTAGTCATATGTGGCTTTTGGGCACTTGGAATGTGTTATCTATATTAAGATATAGTACAATTATAAAACACAAAGAATTTTGCAGACCTAATATAACAAAGAATGTAAATTATCTTGGTAATTTGAAAATAATGACTACAGGTTAAAATAATAATAATTTGGATATATCTAGTTAAATAAAATATATTATTAAACGTTTAAGGTGCACAAAAACTACTTTTGGCTTAGAGGTCAAAAGGCATATAATTCAACACACAGTAGCATATATAGGCAACAGTTAAAATATTCCTAACTGCGTGTTTCTCAATTTATCACAACTGTTTTATATAAGCAAGCAGAATCAGAGGTAAAAAATCTCTCATGATAGTTGGAGAAAGACAATTTAGCAGTTTTCCATAAATATATTTGAATATTCAATCTTATAAAACTTAAAGAAAACTCAGGATTTCTTTCAAGTTCCAAAGGCGTAAAGATGAAAAAATATTTAAATTTGCTAAAAATTATACAGGAAATTTTGGTCCTCATCTTCATATTAATCAGCTCCTTCCTAAAAACAATAAAAGTCTAAATGTAGGACTCCCTTTTATGTATTTCCTCAAATGTTCTCATTATTAACAGGGTTTTATGTATAAGAATCATTTTAGATTTTAACTGCAGAACTAAACCTTTATACTTACAAAGTCTTCCTCTTCAAACTGCAACTTTTCCACCTTATCTTCTTTCTTCTCTTCCCTAATATCTGTAGGTGGCTTTTCCTGAAAGACACAGCCTTTCCGGGAGTGGAAGCTGCCATTCCAATGGCGATGGATTCCTGTGCCACCCCCACTACGCTGGTTCATGCCATCATGACCTCGTGAAGAGCCATGCCAACCAGATAGGTTCCCTGTGATTCCAGCATATGCTCCCTTAGAGACACCAGAGTCCACAGAATCATGGCGGAACAGGGAGGGCTGGTGCCAAGAATCTGAAAAAGTAAGGAAAAGTAACACATTAGTGTGTTTGCTTTCTGGAAATTCAGAAACAAGTGGGCCATATGCTTCCTGATCTAATTTATGGTATTGCCAAAGCCCATTAGGGGACCTTCTAAATAAAAAATTAAGTCCACACACACAAAAAATCACAAGATACATCCTTTTGTTTTAATGTAATTTCTGTAAGAGTTCTTTAACTGAATAAATGACTTAAGAGAACCTGAGAATATTAGAAAGCCAATATAGCTGAGTAATGACTACTGGAGGATCTAATTGAGTATTATGTTTACAAAAGATCATTATTCCAAGGTTATGGACATGTACCCTCAGCCTGGGCTTCCTGAGTAGCTTAAATAGTCATGGAAGTTGGGCATGTCTTACCTCCTGTCGTTCGAAGAGGTCCATTGTTGAAAAAGCCATCAGAGGAATTATGTCTACGACGGCTTACTCCAAATCTACCATCTCCTCGGGGTAGGTGCTCTCCGTGTTTTTCCAAAGTCGCTGTAGGTGACTAAGATGATAATAAAGTATAGGGAAGCAAACAGATAAGTACGTATGAATCTCATTATCTTCGGTTTTGCATCAGGCTTCTAGAAAACAAGTAATATTGGTGGCAGAAATCTCCATTTTGAGAACATGGGACATAGTTAAGGGCTATAGTTCTCTGAGTTAGAGAAGCCCTACATTGCCTATTTAATCACTGATTGAATTAATTAACAGGCTACTTCAATTACTTGCATGGCGGGGGGGGGTGGGGTGGGGTGCGGGCAGGCAGGGAATCAGTCAATATCCAGAAGAACAAGCTCCAAAACTTACACTTAAAAATGTTGTTAATCTTGAAAGGAAAAGAAAGATGCCTGCTTTTAAAACAATTCTAAATAGCTTATTTGTGTAAATTACTCTCGAATTGGAGAGAAAGGAACAGTTTAAATACCACCTTGGCACGCCATTAACGACACAAAAGTTTTTATAGTTTTATAAAACACTTATTTCCATTGATTAATACCCATAACAAGATTACAATTTGACATCATCCCCATTTTATTTACACATGAGGAAGGAGGTCAGAGAGAATAAGTCTCTGAGGTTACGCAATTGAAATAAAGCATTTTGAGAAACACTGTATGTCCTTTCCTATTCCTAATAGCTGTATTCTATTCTTTTTCTCAAATAGAAAACCAAAGTTTAAAAATCCATGAAATGTATGGTTTACAGGCCCACTACTCCCAACATTTGATAAGCGCTTATAGGAGAAGTACAGGTTGTGTCAGAGAAATCTTTACATCTATTTCCTTATTATTAATAACTTCACTTATACTTGGTATTGTCAGATTTTATTTTAGCCATTCTAGTGGGTTACAAGGGCTTCCCTAGTAGGTCAGCTGATAGAACCCGCCTGCAGTGCTGGAGACCCCAGTTCGATTCCTGGGTCAGGAAGACCTCCTGAAGAAGGGATAGGTTACCCACTCCAGTATTCCTGGGCTTCCTTGATGGTTCAGCTGGTAAAGAATCCACCTGTAATGTGGGAGACCTGGGTTTGACCCCTGGGTTGGAAAGATGCCCTGTAGAAGGGAACAGCGATCCATTCCAGTATTCTGGCCTGGAGAATTCCATGGACTGTGTAGTCCATAGGGTTGCAAAGAGTCAGACACGACTGAGAGACTGTCACTTTCTTTCAGTGGGTTACAAAGATTTCTCCTTTCCTCCGAGAGTTTAATGGGTTTTAATTCTTCAACTTAGGTTATAATCCACTTCAAGTTAATTTTTATGTATGATATAAAGTCAAGGTTGAGGCTCTCCCTCCCATTCCCCTATAAATATCCAGTCCTAAAGCCACTTGTTAAAAAGGATTATCACTTCTGCATTGAATTACCTTGGTACTTTAGTCAAAAATCAACCGACTAAATATACAGGACTATTTTTGAATTTTCTATTCTATTTCATCACTTCACATGGCTATCTTTATGCTAATACCACAAATTTGCTTACTGTAGCCTTAATGGAAATATTTATTAATAAATTGTATTTCCTAATTCTTTTTACCAAGTTCATGGTGCTAAATCAATTGTTTTTTGCAGGTATAAGATCTGCCTACTTTAAACACTTCCCTAGATCCCATATCTAATCCCTCAGGCCCAGCACTTCCAACCCTTGAGGTGGATTATGTCAATTATGAGATGGCTGGGAATTTCACAAGTGCAATTCAAACTGAAGTTTAGAGCAAAGGGTTGTGGGTCTAGACAGACCAGGAACATCTTCCCCAAAACTCATGTTTAAAAAAATGTTTTTTTCCTGAGACCAGCTATTAACTTTGTCCCTCCTCTATTAGGTGGCAAAATGGGAAGTATTTTTATTAGCTTCCCGGAAGGTTTCCTTTATCAAGAATATATTCCATTTGTCTTTATCCTTAACGCAAACATTTTCTCCAAAATCAGTAATCAGACCATTGTCTCTGAAATAGAATTTCAGATTTAATTAAATTTATGTTACTAATAAAATAAATAAATTAATTAAGTTAATAGGATTTAATCTGAGAGTCATGTAGTAGTCAATCAATTACTGTCTATCCTTTTTCCTCATCAACTACTACTTTAGGCTATGTACATTCATTCTGAAGATCCATTTCCCCCCAAACCAAAGTGTTCCGCAGCTAACATAGGAAGTCTTAAGTGTGCCACATGATGAGAAAAGCTTAACATGTAATGAAATAAACAGGACACTTGGATACACACTGACTTGAACTGCCTAAGTATTTATACCCTATTAATATCCTAAAAGTAAGATAAAAGAAAGATAAGTTTATGAAAATATATCTAAAATTCTCAGACAAGACTGAATATACACACAAAAAACTAGATTATAAAACAGAGGCTATAAGACAAGATAAGGATGCAAAGAACTGGTATTGCAACAGCTACTAGAATGGAGAATAGTACCTTAGCTGACTGTGGTGTTGAGAAATTTAGCCAAGCAGGAACAAAGTCATGCTGCGCCATTTAGGTCCAGTGTCTCTTTTCAACAAGGTGAGGCATCCAACCTCATGGCCAGGATCTGAAAATGAGAAAATTAAAATCATTTATTCTTGGAAGAATCTGGTATCAAGTAAAGGAGTCTGCGATTACTTTAAGGTCCCCCTTTTACAGAAAGACTTGCTCTCTGAGCCCTTCTAGAGTACTCATCTGGCCTCATATACCAGAGAATTTCTAAACAAAAACAATAGTCTGTGAATATATAACCATGAATAAGCAACACAAACAGAGAAAGTGGGACCTAGCCCTGAAGGTTATATGACAGAAGCTAATGAATTCTTGGGTTATAGCAGAAGAATCTTAAGAATAAACAACTACTCATAACTACAGATATATGCTATGCCAGGTATACGCTAAGTTGCTTCAAACACTGCTGACACTTTGCGACCCCATGAACTACATACAGCCCCAGGTTCCTCTGTCCATAGGATTCTCCAGGCAAGAATACTGGAGTGGGTTGCCATTTCCTTCCCCAGGGGTCTTCCTGACCAAGGGATCAAACCCATGGTCTCTTATGTCTCCTGCATTGGCAGGCGGGTTCTTTACCACTAGCACCACCTGGGAAGCCCCAAACTATAGATATTTATTTAAAAAGATTAATCTGCTTCAGGTAACTTCAGGCAAAAGCAGTAGAAAAAAATCTTCCTAGAGAAGGAAGTTATAACTTCTCAAGTTTTTTTTTTTTCTATTTAGTTCACATTAACTTCTCCTAATCAGAATCAATTTTCCTGAGAGATCCGTTGGTGTCTCCAAACCACCTCACTGATAGTCCCCAGAATACATCAGAAAAGAGTAGGTATTTTCCATGACACACATACATACACAGTCTTCTTCCAAAGTTAGACATAGGAGGATACTTACCCCAGAGTATAACCTCTGTGGTCCTGCTTCCTGAACTTCTTGAGTTGCCAGCTGGATTTCCACGAGGTTCTCTTGTTAAAAGGATACTTAATTAGGCTGGCCAGCACAACGCCTTACGATGAAGCAAAAAGAATCCAGGCTCTGTGTAGATCAAACTGTCAGTCCCCTCAATTGCTCATCTTAAACTATCTAGTTCCTGACACGTTTCCCAAAGGGGAAGGGGAAAGGGGAAGGGGGAGGGGAACATAAAAAGTATTTGTTACATTTAAAAAATGGGGGGAAGGGGAAAGAGCTATATCAATGTTCACCTCATTCAACTTCCTTGAGTGATGGCACTATGATGTTGCTTAAATAGATAATACATGGACATTTGCACAGTGAATGCAAATACTGTTCATAACAAGGTCATAGCTTAGAAAGACAGAATGACTTTTGTTTGGTCAAATAATGTCATTGAAGTGATAGATCAAAAATAAAACACTGACGAGCTATAAAAGATCTTCTGAGTAGTCAGTCAACTCTAGGAGCAAAACATCTACATTACAAAGCCCTTAATTTATAAATCTCATTATTCTTACACAGCTGGTAAAAATAGTCTGCAGGTATGAGTTTATATTTGTCTTATCCTTCAAAATCTAAGGACATAAGAAAGCTTGTTAAAAAAAAACCAAAAAACAGACAGGAACTTGATATGCTTTTCCCTCCAAGAATAGCAGCTTTCAAGGCAAGTTTTCTTGGTATAAAGCTCTCAAATGTTTCTTCTATTTCTTTGGTCTTCACTATTTATAAATTCACAGCAAAATTAAAACAACTAGAAAGGCAGGGCTTAAGAACAGTCACAGAGAAACTTCCAAAGTGAGGTTTTCTTCTCTTCAGTTTTCTGTATTTCACTCGTTCTGCCCGTTCCCAAAGACTAAACTGAGTTAATGGAAGATAATAAGAATCTTCTGCTTCAGTAGGTAAGTCACTTTGGATCCATTTTCATTGTTATTCAATCATTTAATAGGCCACAGGAATCTATCACTATAAATGAAAAAACAAAATAACATATTACAAGAGGCAAAACTACTATATATAATTGCTAAAATGAGACATGGTCAAATGATGGACCTAGGTGGAGGAGACAGAACTCAAGTCCAATTTAAACATTAATTTAACGTACCACCACCTATAGCAACAACGTAACTGGCTAAAATTTTTTTAAGGATTTTAAAAGGATTTTAGAAAAGTGAGGTGAAAAAAAATCTAGTTTTAAAACTACCATTTCTCCAATTAGCTATCAAATGCAATTCAGAAATGCAAATTAGAGTCCATTAGATTTAGACTTTCCCTCATACTTGGAACAGCTTGCCATAAGTGGTCAAAGAGGCGTAACTAACTGGTTTATTACACAGTCATCAACTATTTAATTATTTAGTACTAACCATGGCTAGATGCTTAAAAACAAGACAACTGTCACAGCATTCCTCATGTATTTACGTATTTTTAGATACCTACTTATCAATTAAGAGACTTAAGTGCTTATTCTCTGACGTAAGATATGCAGTAAGAGATGACATAAATATTTCTTTGGCAAATTCCTAACATACTTCCAAGGGCTAGAGCATTTTCTGATATAAGAGAATGCTTGCATCTGTGGACAATTCTGGTCTACACTGGTAAATACTAGTTTATAGAATATTTCTCATATCATCAATTCCTGTTTAAAGATATACTAAATTCAGAACAGTAAATACCTCTGTGGGGAAACAACGGGAAAGGAATCAAAAAAAGGTTCCGGGTGTTTCATCTGTATCTGTAATACATTATTAAATTGAATGATGGGTATTCCACTTGTTCTCTACATTTTTTATATCTTTATAATACATATATGTGTAACATCAACCACGCAGAGTATACACATGTAATAATTTTAAAAAGTGACCTTATTAATATGTAAAAGAGGTCTCAATAAGTTCCAAAGAATAAAAGTCTATGTTCTCTTACAGTGTTAAAATCAGGAAGCAATTTTCTCTTCGGTTCCCACTCTCCTTCCCCTTCCTGAAGAAACACTGTATAAACCCATTAGGAGTGGTCAGGCGAAGTAAAAGCAGCAAAGGGGGAGCTCCAGAGGCCAGAGCAAGGTACTGGGGCATAATCAGGATGCGAGGGTGTCCACCGAGGGTGGAAGGATACTGAAATGTGTGTATGGCAGCAGTGCTGCACAGGTTGTTGGACCTCATTAGGTGAGTGGCCCAGTACAGTCCAATGCAGAGTATGGGAACCCTAAGAGGAAGAAGGAGGATTTCCTCGTTATTCAAGTGGGTTGCAGGCTTCCATACAGCAATGTGCCTTCCACAGTTGTTACAACTCTGACGTGATTAGGGAGAAGTACATATAAGGGAAGAGATGATAAATGCAGGTTGGTTACATACCAGGATTTGATCAAAAAGTAAAAATATTAGGGAAAAATGGGAGTCAGATTTCTTACTGTGAGAGAAGTGATACAATGATAAACTTTCAAAACCTTTAAGTAGAAGAAAAACTACTATGAATAAATTTGCACTATAACAGCTAGAGCAGTACTTAATAAAAAATAAGCTTTAAAAACTTTTAAGAAGATTAAATCAAACTGAACTTTATTGCTCTTTTTTTTTCATGACAGGTAATGAGCAATAAAAAAAAATCTAAAGAAACACAGAAAGATAAGGTCAGAAAAAATCAGAATGATTTTTTAAAACAATAATTCTTTTGACACAGATTAATAATTTTTTAAGACAGCATGAAAAAGAGGAAATAAACACAACAGATAAATAAATATCATGCGAAGGGACTTCCCTGGTGGTCCAGTGGTTAAGAATGCGCTTTGCACTGCAGGGGATGTGAATTCAATCCCTGGTTGGGGAACTAAAACTCCAGGAGCCGAGGAGCACTAAGCCCACACCACAAATACACTCCAGTATTCCTGCTTGGAAAATTCCACGGACAAAGGACAGGAATAGTTATTTCAAGGATAATCTCTTGATATTGGTTCTGTAGTCCAGCCTAGAGATTTTGAAAATCAGAACTGACTGCAATTCACAACCTGGAGAAAACTTGATTTTTTTTTGAAAACCAGTTTTTAATATAAACAAATTAAAAGCCAAGTCACAAAATACTTAGGAAAAAGTAAAAATAAACTGAACTAAATAATTGATGGGATACGGGAGTAAAAGAGAAATAAAAGTTCATACTCTGATTTCTAGTTTGGGTAACTTGGTAAATAACTACCACATCACTGACTGATACAGGGAATAAAAGCTAACTGGCTACTGTTCCTCCAGTATAATTCAGGTGTTTTTTAAAAAATTAAATTTATTTATTTTTGACTGCACTGGGTCTTTGTTGCTGTGCACAGGCGTTCTCTATTTGTGGTTAGCTGAGGCTATTCTCTCGTTGCGTGCACAGGCTTCTCTTGTTGTGGAGTACAGGATCTAGGTGCATGGACTTAGCTGCCACTTAATTGCCCCGCAATATGTGGGATCTTCTTGGACCAGGAATTGAACCCGTGTCTCCTGTACTGACAGGCAGATTCTTCAGGACAGGACCACCAGGAAAGCCTCAGGATTGTTTTTACTTACGTCTATCTATACCTGCAATGAAACAATCCTATGACAAACCTAGACAGTGTTTTAATAAACAGAGATACCACTTCGCTGACAAAGATCCATATAAACAGAGCTATGGTTTTCCAGTAGTCATGTATGGATGTGAGAGGTGGACCATACAGAAGGCTGAGTGCCAAAGAATTGATGCTTTTGAACTGCTGGCGAAGACTCTTGAGAGAGTTCCTTGGACAGCAAGGTGATCAAATTAGTCCATCCTAAAGGAAATCAGTCCTGAATATTCATTGGAAGGACTGATGCTGAAAAGCTGAAGCTCCAATACTTTGGCCACCTGATATGAAAAAACCCTGATCTGAGAAAGATTGAGGGCAAGAGCAGAAGAGGGTGACAGAGGATGAGATAGCTAGATGGCATCACTAACTCAATGGATATGAGTCTGAGCAAACTCCTGGAGACAGTGATGGACAGGGAAGCCTGGTGTGCTGCAGGCCATGGGGTTGCAAAGACATGACTTTGTGACTG